AAAAAAAAAAAAAAAAAAAACACATCTTAGTAAAACCAATACTTTCTCAGGTTCGCATCGAAGCTAATATACGGTGTATGATCATGGATCTTTTTGTTAAAATGAAATAACTGCATATGGTTAGTCAAAAAATGTAAAGTGAAGGAAAATTACACACGGATGACACTAACTCGAATAATATTAATTCTACTATTAAATGTGCAGTTGTTCTGGTAGAGGATTTTATGACTCTTGATAATTTTATCGATTTTAGTATATGTAGGAAACGATGTGTGTTTGCGTAAAATGCAACTGTCCGATTGTTTGTCGCCAAGCTTTAATAGCTGAATTATTTTTTATATGAATGATAAATGTAAGTAAAATATTTATANTATATGAATGATAAATGTAAGTAAAATATTTATATTACACACATACAATAGCGATGATGAAATAATTTTTTTTTAATTATGTACGTTAGGAGTTAATTCTATTATTCCCACGATAAAAATTATTCATAATTTATTTTAAATCTATCTTAAATTTTTATGACATGCTTAGAAATATAATTTCTTACCTTGTGTCCAGCTCAGCTTGAACGTTTGTTGAACAAAAAAAATATAATAAGAACACTGACTTTAATCTACTTATTTATTTTATAATCTTATAAAAATTGTTAAACTTTAAATATTATTTCACTTAGCTTCCTTTCTATAATTGGTATCTGAATATATATATGTATATATATTCTTTTATACTTCAAAATAAAAATGTATAGAACCAAATAGATTATGAGAACCAATCCCTAGTGACATGCTGCAAATTATTGTTTTACAAATAATTTCAACTGCTTGATGTTCTAGGGTAATGATTTCAACAATCCATCAGTATCTTGTTCAATGAATCAAACAGTTATCTATCTAAATTTAAGATACACTCTACGATCTTCTTAGTGACTCGACATAAACTATTGTTTTACCAACAGTTTTAACCACTTTATGTGCTTAGGTAAATTTTTNTTAACCACTTTATGTGCTTAGGTAGATTTTCGAAATGCACTTATTAAATAGACAATTCAATTAAAGAATTTAAAAAAATTCTTAAATAGTACAACTCACAAAGTAAAAAATAAAAAAATTTAATTGTCTTTAATTAGGTGCCGTCTTCAAAAGTGTTACGCACTGCATCTTACATAAATAACATCAACAAAACTTTAAATTTGTAAACTACAATTAAATTGACACAAACACCTTAGTACCCAGTGATGACTACAGGGCACATGATGCAAATAAATTACATGCTGGTTATCCGAAACTATTATCACAATAAGATAACACTCTTTGACGTTATAATAGATAAAATCCATTCAGCTTGCAACGTGCTTTCTCGCTAGAGTCTTAAAAGTTGACTAAGCTATACCTAAACGGGGCAACGCTGGTCCTGTATAATTTATATCCCACTAAAAGGGTCGTTCGCAATTTCCTAACCCAATAAATATTAGCTCTCAATTAACAACGATAACAAGCATTTATTTCTATTTAATATTATTTAAATATAACCTGACTGGATCTCTAGAGATGTTGGTGGTGTCCAAATTAGGTAACCGATGGCAGCGAGTGTACGCAACCCGAAATAATAATTCAAACTTAATACTAATATCATACTTTAAGAATTTCTATTGAAAAAGTCATAATTGATACATTTCTTTTAACTATACTAATGATCCATACTAAATAAGAGTTTTAATTCGTCCTAAAACTAGTTTCAAAACGAATACAGAACAACTTGGCCACATTCTTAATGAGACGACTTACAATAATGATTTTAATCACTGTTAAATTTAAATCTAAACGGGTTTCCAATTTTCCCGGCATCTTTCCATAGTTAAAAATAAAATAGAACCTTAGGTATTTGTTATTATTATTTTTTCACACCAAAATTTATTTTTATATAAGAACACATATATATCTTACATTTTTTTTTTTTAGCTCAGTGACCCTTAACTTTTAGTTATGCCTTTACATCTAAATGTACTAGATTTTTAAATTCATCATATCTCATTTGCGTTTTTACCCACAAAAAAATATTGATTACATAAATTATAACGTACGAGAAATTTAATGTTTTTAATAAAAAAAAAACGCAGTTATTAATATGAATATTATTTGACTATGTGAAATAAAAATAAAAACATTCTGTTCTTAGATTAAAGATACCACTAAAATTATCACAATTCAATAGCCTTGTAAAATAATTGTGATGTATCAATTTATTTAAGATACATATAACAAATGACTTTTTTATAACAAATGTTAAAACTCGTACATGCGACATTTCTTTCTGAAAATGTTAGCATAGTACAGCCAGTTTTTTTTTACATTTGTAAATTTATAGCGCGTACTAGTGACATAACTGTCTCGATATATCAAACTATGTACAGCCCGCTATTTTTATATTATAAGATTAAAGTCATCGTTTGTTTTGAAAGTATAATATAAATTAAAACAAACTTTCATAAATCAATACGACTTTATATAGGCAGTTCTCAAAATCAAATTCATATGTATATATACAGAGTTTTCAGTAAATAAGGAAACAAGCCAATTGTTCCAACAATGAGAACAATATAAAGCCGTTCGCTTACTTACTGAAAACTCTATATATAATACAATATACAAAATATAATATATATATTTGTATATAAAGGTTATGATAAAAAAAGAGGTATCTATAACCAAAGAACCAACATTTTTGTTTAAATTTCATATAGTCAAATAATATTTTCAATCAATTAATGTGAATCACTTTTTTTTATCTATGATATCAAATCTCGTATATAATAATGTATGTAATCAACATTTTTTAAGTTGGAAAAAATTCTAATGAAGTCTAAACTGTAGTGAAGTATATCTCAAAAATTTAATACATACAGTTGTATAGGTGCAACTAGTAGCTATTAGATATTAACCTCACAAAAAATGTAGAATATATGTGTGTTCTTGTATAAAAATATTCTTTAGGGTGAGAAAATAATAATAACATCAACTGAAATTTTATTCTAGATGTGCCTATAGAAAAGTTTCAACNATTTTTTAACAGTTATTTACAAGTTAAATGAGTTTTTGTACTAGAATGAGAATCATGTTTTGTTTTCCATTTTTAAGACCTCTAGATCAACATAACTAATAAATATAAAAAACAAATAATTAAAGTGAATTTTTGAACAATAATTATGCCATACACAAAAATATTCAACCTATTAAAATGAAGCATTGAAGCCATGGTTTTTTTAATGGAATTAACTTAATATAATTAATTAGCTATTAATAATAGGCTAAATAACAATTAAAATATGTATTTCATATACAATATAAATACCTTGCTGTTAGTTTTATACATGATTTACCTCTAATTTAAATCTTTTTGGACCAGACTGTAAATCGCCAAAATCAAATTCCGAGTTGCTTATAGATTATTTAATATGGTTTTTAATTATTTTTTTACTTGATTAANTTGCTTATAGATTATCTAATATGGTTTTTAATTATTTCTTACTTGATTAGAGTCACAGCTGTTTCAGGATTTTTTGGATTAAAGATAACAAATAATTTTGAATTCGTTATTTTATTAACAAATTAATATAAAAGTAAAAAGAAAT